TTATGTAATGGAATCATATTGTAAGTATGTAATTATGAATTATGTCTTTTAAACAATATTAGCATGTGAGATTCATCTGTGCATAGCTTTATTCAGCTCCTTGCTGTTGCTGAATTACATTTTAGTAAATAAGTGTATCATAATTTGTTTAACCTTTCTCCCATCACTGGACATTTATAATTTCTGCTTTAAAAAACAAAACTTCTGTGAGCATTCCTGGCACACATGTACACAAGTTTCTCTAGGATACAAACATGGAACAAAGACTGTAGTTGGAAATTTCATTTCTAATGCCCAAAGGTCAGCCCAAGAGTCAGAATTGCAATGAGCTCTTTGTACACACTAGGCTGGAGTCAGTGTTGTCCACAGTATTTTTCCAGAGAGAGATGGAGGCTAGCCTGGTGAGGTCAGAAGTTATCTCAGACCTTTAGTCAGAGTGCGTTTTGCTTAGAAAAAGTCTAGATTCTAAAATTCCCTTCATTATTATTCTCATCTTTCTCCCTTCTTTTGTACAAGGTATATTTTATGAAACTCATATCTACCAAGCAAAATATTAATGGATTTTTAGTCTTTTATGGATTATAAATTTAATTCAGTTGAATCTCTTAAACAAGTAATGATTTTTTTAAAATATTTTTTATTTATTTATTTGACAGATAGAGTTACAAACAGAGAGAGAGCAACAGAGAGAAAGGTCTTCCTTCCGTGGGTTCACTCCCCAAATGGCTGCAACCGCCAGAGCAGCGCCACTCGGAAGCCAGGAGCCAGGTGCCTCCTCCTGGCCTCCCATGCGGGTGCAGGGGCCCAGGGACCTGGGCCATCCTCCACTGCTATCCCAGACCATAGCAGAGAGCTGGACGGGAAGAGGAGCAGCCTGGACTAGCACCAGCGACCATATGGGATGCCAGCGCTGCAGGTGGAGGATTAACCTACTGTGCTACTGCACTGGCCCCAAGTAACTATATTTTAAACATGAGGGATCTGAAAAAAAGTTGATAGAAATGCCTATTGGGAAAATACAATGTATATGTATTTAATTTGTTGCATCAAAATAAGCTGTGCATTTTTCCATGAAATTTTTGAAGTGTCCTCATCTTACTATGGATGAAAATTTCTATTTCTCTAAAATGTTTTTAAAATAAGAACACTCAACATGAGGTCCACCCTCCTAACAAACGTTTAAGGGCACAATACCATGTTATTAACTGCAGGCATAATGCTGCACAGTAGAACCCTAGAACCTATTCGGCTTGCTCAACTGAAACTTTATACCCATCGACTAGCCACTCCCTGCTTCTCTTTCTTTAAAAGTGCGTTGCAGGGCTGGCGCCACGGCTCACTAGGCTAATCCTCCACCTTGCGGCGCCGGCACACCGGGTTCTAGTCCCAGTCGGGGCGCTGGATTCTATCCCGGTTGCCACTCTTCCAGGCCAGCTCTCTGCTGTAGCCAGGGAGTGCAGTGGAGGATGGCCCAAGTACTTGGGCCCTGCACCCCATGGGAGACCAGGATAAGCACCTGGCTCCTGCCATCGGATCAGTGCGGTGCACCGGCTGCAGCCCGCCAGCCATTGGAGGGTGAACCAACGGAAAAGGAAGACCTTTCTCTCTGTCTCTCTCTCTCTGTCCACTCTGCCTGTCAAAAAAAAAAAAGTGCATTGCAAAAGGACTGTGGGGAGCAACTCGGACTAGACTAAGTTACTGGAATTAAGACTTATTCTATGCATCTGCTCTCCCACAATATGGCGCTGAGAAGGGAGTAAACAACTTCTACGCAGCTGTCTCTCGCCAACTTGAGTGATGACCTGCAGGAGCTGATCCTGCTCCTGATTGGAGGAGAGCAGCGTACTCAGCGTGTGGGTAGCAGAGTTGGGATTGGTGGAAGAGGACTATAAAGGAGGAGAGAGATAACATGCACGAGGAACATCTAAAGGGAACATCCGGATAACATCTGAGCAGCCCCCGAGAGAGCCGGCCGGCAGTGTGCCACTCCCCCGCGGAAGTGGGGAAAGTGGCAGGGGGAGCCGCCCTTCCACAGAGGTGGAAGGATCGGCAGCCAACCCGGGAAGAACCAGCAGCAAACCCGGGAAGGGCCGAGCAGACAAAAGAACAACACAGGGTTTAGTGTTGTTCCTCCACGAAGAGGGGGAGCGACAAGGACCTCTTATTTACTGTCTGTATGTTTCCATTTTTTTAATCTGTAATTTATTTTCTAACCATAAAATCATCATCATCATCATCATCTCACCCATACATGCCTTTTAAGAAACAACCCTGTCTTTAGGTGCTTCTACATCTGTAGCAGTCTGCACTCTGCTTTATTATATCATTCACTATGTCCTTTTACATCCTATGCTTCCTTTGATTTTGCTCTACCAGATGGTATATTGTTCAGGGTCAAGCACAGTACCTTGATCACCACTATATCCCCAGGACGTGGTGCTGTACCTAGTCCATAGGACTAAATACTAAGAACTGAGTGGAACCCACTTACCTAACTTCAACCTCCAATCTCAGAACACAGTTTATCAGTGGTTAAGAATCCTTACTTAGTAGACACATTTACCTAGTATGGAATCCTGGCATTGCCACTTATAGAATCATCTGGGATAAGTTTACGTTGAGAATCAATTTCTTCTTCAGTGTAGGAATGATACAAGGCTGCATGGCAGAGTTGTTTGGAAAATTAAAGAGATGATGAATAAGAATTAGCCTGGCCCATGGAGTACCCAAATCCATGCCATATTGATTTTATTTCAGCTGTTTGTAATAGTTACAGAAGTGAAAAAAGTGTAGAGAAGGAATATACATTCAAAAAAATAATTATGCTCATTTTTGGGACTGAGGATGGGGGGCACAATTTTTATTCAAGGAAATAGCTTTTTATATATTTTATAATATTTATTTTAAGTTAGGTTTAATAAAAATAATTTAAATGCAATGAAATGAATTAATTTGAAATGTTCAAGTTTTGATAGATGCATATGGTCATACGACCATCACAGTCAAGGTACAGAACATGTCTACCATCTTCGAAAGTTCTCTTGAACCCTTTTACAATCTACCTCTACCTTGGACCCTTGCCCCAGAAAACCTCTAATGTTATTTTTATTTAAAAATGCAATTTAATTATAGTATTTTTACTTATATTTATGGTGTAGAATATTATAATTTGACACATGAATAAAATGTGGAATGGTCAAGTCAGGGTAATTAGCATTATAGCCAAATGATTAACATTCTTAGCGTTTGATTGAATTGTATATTGGGAGTGAGCTCCTTTCCTGTGTAACTTATGACTTGGCTAGTCTTCATTTTGTGAATAGACTCTTGCTGGCTTTTGAGTCGCAGTAGGGAAGGGAAGGCTTATGTGCAGAAATGATAAGCCACTACAACAAGTTGCTGGGTTTGCATTCTAGCAGAACTTTTTGAGTGCTTTCTGTTTTACTTGAGACTTGAATAAATACTAATATTTGTACATTGAAGATTAAGTGCTTGTAAAGTATAGCCTGGGTAAACGTTTTCTTTGCTCTTGCCTTTTCAAGACTGTTCATTGGAGTTTCAGGAGGATACCTTCCCATGCTTTTTGAAATTCTGTTGACAATGTTGACTGTGAAACTAATCAGCCATTGGTAGAAAGTAAAGGCAAACTATCTGGAAGACAATAGGATAATGGAAACCATGTTGAACTTGGAGTCTAATAGCAGTAGATTTGGTATCCAAATCATCCTAGCATTCTCTTCTCTGAGCGTTATTGTTTTCATCCATGCAATGCATATAAAGAGAAAAATAAGCTTGTCTCACACAGTTGTTATGAGGTGTTGACGAACAGAAGCACCCAATGTGGCCAACCAGTTCCTCTTTTCCTTACTTCCTTAGTAAGAAAGAATTACTCAAACTATGGCAGTGACATTCCTATGGGTAACAGTGTGGGCAGTTATCATCTATTTGAGGCAAATTTACACTGCAGGTCACTGGAGGTTTGTTTAAAGGTTAGATATAGGACATAGGGAAGATGGAAGTTGGCATTTAGGTAGTGAGAACCATGTTACATATGCTACAACTTGAAGTAATTACTGTGGGAGACTGCAAATCACCCTTTCATGAATGTTTTAGAACTGGCTTGCTGGCCCCTCTCTTTCACATTCACCTGGAAGAAGCCAAGCACAGATATTTTTGAAAATAGGAAGTTAGGCTAGGTGACTTCTGAAGCTTTGTCTTTGCCCAAGGAACCTATGAGACTTTTAGTGGCCCAGAGTTTTGATGGTAGCTGAAAGGATATTCACCATCTCTGTACATCACTTCTCAATGAGAGCCTAACACATAGAGATTCTGCTACTTTACATTGTAGAATGGGGGAAGAGGGATGTCATGTGCTGTAGAGAGACTCCCAAGGGGAGTGCAAGAATGGAGGAAGAAAGACCAAGGAACATTCGTGTAATAATATTAATCATCCATCACTTATGTATCCATTTCAAGAACCTTTTATCCACTGTTTGATTTATATTTCCACTCACAACAGCAACTCAATAGGGTGAATGATATTATCCCTCCTTTACACATGAGATTTGAAACTTAGAGAGCTAACACAAAGCACATTAAACTGCTTTGATATGCAGTCTGCTTTGGCCATGGTCTCCCTTTGGGTAAGGTAAGTCTCATACCATTTAATTGCCTTGAAAATGTTGCCTGACTGCCACTTTAAATTATATACCTTAACCTCAAGTTTCCTCACTCCATCCTTCACTCATTTACATGGAGCCTGTGAGATTGCCTAATCCCAAAGAATTTGTCTAACCCCTTGGCAGGATCCAAAAGTTCTCTGCCCACCTCACAGAATTCCCAGGGTAATTCAGCTTCACAATGATTCAATGCAGAAATAGGTAATACTTCCAGCATATATTTTACTATTGAAGACCTCAGATTTTTGCCTTCCCATTTCTGCCTTGCATTGACATGTGTTGCGTTGTTTTGTGTTTCTGTGTGTGTGTATGTCTTTCCAGTTTGGAGACTGCTAGGGACCACGTTTTGCCCATCGACTATTACTTTCCACCCCAGAAGACCTGCCTGATCTGCGGAGATGAAGCTTCTGGCTGTCACTATGGAGCTCTCACTTGTGGAAGCTGCAAGGTCTTCTTCAAAAGAGCCGCTGAAGGTAAACGGTTTTATACACTCACTTCTATTTCTATTTCCACTTTACCTTCCCGAGAGAGCCAACAAACATCCAGTGCCCAGGATTTTATCATCTCACGTACAGGGTCAATTGACAAGACTCTCTCAAATAACCTATGAGCCTAAGGAAGCAAATTTTCAAACTTACCAGTCCCTGGCTTCAAATGCATTCATTTTACAGACAATGTAAGCAAGGAAGGTGGCTACAGCTGGGGCTTGGGGATCAAGTAGGTCCTAAGAATGAAATGAAAATTAAAAATTAAGGATTTGAAAATATTTAGTTCCCTCCCTGCTTATTTTCCACTCTGAGGCCTAATGATGGGAAAATGTCCCTATTAGCGGGGTAAGAAGTAGGAAAAGGCCAACTGAGCCCCCCTGGCGTGTTCTCTGTGGTTAATAAAAGACTGTTTCTTAGCAAAGACTTCTTGGCCTCGACCCCAGAAAGGCAGTATTCCTGCCCTGCTGTTCGCCAGACAATCATTCTTTGCACCTGCTCCCTCCTGCAGCTGCCTCCTTGGGACCTCTTTTTGTGTTAATAGCTCCTGTGTAGGGAAGACCTAAAGTAAAGTATTCTCCTTTTCCAGAGGCTGCCCATTGGTCGAGAACCCCAAGCTAAATAGCATCCTATGTGTGGCTAAGTGGACCCAAAGCCCTGGCTCTTTACTTTTATTCAGCTTAGAACTCATCTACAAAGGTGTTCGGCTTATGTGCTACAGCAGAAACTTCCATTTCCAGACTTACCGTACATGCCAGTACCACATTCCTAACCACCCTGGGATTCAGCCTCCTATGCAGTCATTTCACGCCCACCCTCTATCTAGGGCTTCCCCAAAGGGACACTAGTGAGCAATCCCTAGACAGAAGTGTCCTGCCCTGGGACCAGACCCACTTGTTAAATATCTGTATCCCTCCCCAAGTTCCCCATTTTCCATGAAGGACCTACTTCCTGCTCAGACAGTGTTTTTTTTTTTTTTTAATTTAAGTTATCCTTCACTCTCACTTGCCTGGAAGTGTTGAGCTCCAAGTCAGAACCCAAACCTAGAACCTGTCCTTACGTAGGGCTAATAACCTTGAGGAGAGTTTTAAATGACAGGGATGTAGGGCATTTCACCAGGAGTGTGCTGCCATTCACTAGAGGATGGCAGAAGCACCAGAATCTTGCACTGGGAGAAAAGGGAGGAAGTGAGTGCCCTTTATCTTCTTATTGGTAACCAACCAGTGATTATTATAGTTTCATCATTTGGGCTGCATAGTAGGAGCACCTATAAAGCAGAAAGCTCTTGTGTTTCTTTCCAGTCTTCTAAACGATAAGGAGGTAGCATTTGGCATTACTAGAAATATGCTGTATAATCCACTCCTATGCTCAAGTGGCCCATTCTGCTGTTCATGGTGAGCTAATATGAGTTCCAAGGCCCTAGTGCCTAGGCCTAAACAGTTCAGAAAGAGCCCGAGAGCACAGTGCCTTCCTTTCTTAAAAGTATGAAAGGATGTCTGCCACAAAAAGAAGTGAGGAGCAATTCCAGAAACTTCAGATCACCTCAGCTAGCCCCTGTGAGACCCTACTCCTTCCCTGTATGCTGTCTTCCAGTAGGCACTGTCTATAGAGTAGGAAATGAACCGGTGAAGAAGCAAATTCAATAGTCAGATACATTAGCTTATACTTATGCTGCCTCTAGGTTTTACAAATCTAGGTCATCAAGTTGTTATTTTTGGAAAACAGGGGAAATGATCACAAATGTATTGTGAAAAGGAAGATTTTAATGTAGTATCATGCACCCCACATGGGAGCTTTCTACAGAAGTTAGGGCTGAAGGCTGGAGGCAGGCTGAAAGGGCAGCTGCTGGGGCTGCCTGGGAGTAGCTGTGCTATAGTGTGTTTCCTGGGATATTTGAGAACAGGGAAGACAAGAGGTGGGGTGGAGGGGGAGGCAGTTGCCCAACCTAGAGAACACGTGAAAAGTCCAACAAGATATCAAAATGCTCCAGACCATAGTCACTTAAGGAAACTCAGTAGTATTTCATCGAGAAAATGAGCCTTTGTGAGCTCATGGAGTCAAATGCACTTGACTGTTTTACAACGTGTTGTGGTGAGGATCTCTTTTGGTCATGTTTATTAGGGGTTCTATGAGCTTCCTGTACTAGGATGTCTCTGTCCTTCTCTAAACCTGGGAAATTTTCTGCTAGTATCTCACTAAAAAGGCCTTCTAATCCTTTCTCCCTCTCCATGCCTTCAGGAACTCCTAGAACCCGAATGTTGGGTTTTTTAATAGTATCCTGAAGATTCCCGACAATATGTTTTAGATTTCTAATTTCCTCTTCTTTTCTTTGGTTTGATTGTATATTTTCCTGTGCTCTGTCTTCTAAGTCTGATATTCTCTCTTCTGCTTCACCCATTCTGTTTTTAAGGCTCTCTAATGTGTTTGTCATTTGATCTATTGAATTCTTCATTTCATTATGATTTCTCGTCACTATCACAGTTTCATGTTCTACTAGTTATTTCATTTCATTTTGATTCCTCCTTAATATTTCATTTTCACGAGAGAGATTTTCTATCTGGTCCATTAAGGATTTCTGTAGTTTGAGAATTTGTTTTTGAGAACTTCTTAATGTTCTTATCAATTTTTTGAGATCTGCTTCTTGCATTTCTTCTATTTCATCATCTTCATAATCTTGAATTGGGGTGTCTATTTCATTTGGGGGCATCATAGTGTCTTCCTTGTTCTTGTTACCTCGGCTTTTGCGTTTGTTTGGCATATTGGAGATATTCTTTGGTTTTTTCTCCTTATACTGTGACTCTAGATTAAGAGGACTGTCTGCTTTTGATGGATCCTTAGAGGCTGTGATGGGTGTGGCCAGAGAGCTCTGGTTCTACAGGGTTAAGGGTGTGCCAAAGGTGATTCACCCTGATTGTTCTCTTGCTCGCTCTCACTCTCTCTCTCTCTCTCTCTCTCTCTCTTTTTTTTTTTTTGACTCAGTTGGGACGTAATTCCACACAGCTGAGTGGAATTGAGAGTAGTTGATGTATGAAATCTGGCCCCTGTGGGTATTCGTTTGCTTACCAGAGTCAGGTTTTTCTGCTTGGCTAATGAGGGGCACCCGCTTTATATATGCAAAATGGCACGCACTGCTTTACTTACGTAAAATGGTGCCTTCCCCTTGTCTTGCTCGGCTTTGTAAGGTGAGTGGAGAGAGAGGCTAAATGTCAGTGCTGGTTCCCCTTATTTATTCGATTTTTTCTCTCCTCCAGCCAGCCTGGTGAACTTTCCCCAATGGGGTTTCAGGCCTCGTTCTCTGCAGGCTTTTTCTGCCTTTCCCCACCAATGTCTCGGGTTACAGAGAGGTAGAGAGGTTTTTAGCTCACCTCCCCTTCCAGCGCTGGCGCGCAGACTCTGCAGCTCCAGTGGGTCCGGTGGGTCCAGCTGCTCGGCTTCCACGTGGTGGGCGACCTTGCTCTCCCCATAGGTCCTCCGAGTCACAGCCACTAGATCTGGAAGAGTTTCCTCTGCAATTTTTCCCTGATCCTTTTCCTGAGGCTACCGTAACTCCACTTTTATTAAAGTATCTTTTCCCGGACTGTCGGTGTGTGCCCTCACTATTCTGCCATCTTGGCTCCGCCCCTCGACTGTTTTAAATATAAAAAGTGGATTACTTAAAAAAGCCATGGAGAGGGAACTTTCTGAGCCCTTTTGGTTGTTTGGGAATATGGACCCCAGATTCTGGTCCTGAACCCTTTGAGAGATAGGAAAAAGTGGCTTAGAAGTGCGCGCACACACACACACACACACACACACCCCAAAGCAAAAAGAAATTTACTGGTGTTTCATTTGTCTTCTCATCTGTAAAAGTTTGGATACTTCGGTTTATTGCCATTGCTATCTCTATTTGAAGGCTGGGGGCTGTCTTACTACCCAAACAGAACATTTATTGTCTTGTTTATTATTTTTTTCCATTTTTATGATGTTTCATTATTGCCCCAATGGCCTTTCTGAAGGTGGTTCTGAATCTGCCGTATTGAACTTGGAATTCCACCTGTTTTGGAGAGCGTAGGAGCACAAATCTTTCTCTGCTTCATTGTTTGCTGTTGTCAGTTAACTCAGACAAAGTATTTAGAGCTTTGATTATCACTTCATTCATGACTCAGAAATCTCTAGACTGGGCACAGGTACAAGACTTAAAAGCCTGACATCAGACAGAAATTCATTTCTAGCTTTTGGTGATTCATAAAGCAAGCAGCTTTAATGCTGTCATTGGTACAGAGCTCAGCCCAGAATCACTTGTAATCTGGTCAGGGTTTTTGTTGAAGAGGAAAATGGGGTGAGAGCCCCATATTTTCTCATTGTCAGTAATGGGTGGGGTTGAGGTGCATGCGGGGATGGGCAGGGGTTGAGGTGCATGCGGGGATGGGCAGGGAAATATCTGTGCATTGTTCTAAGGAAAACTAATACCAGGCCATCGGGTAACACCACTAAAAACTGTGTGAGAGAAAATTAGTGAATGCACTCTCAGGGCAGAGAGCATGGGCCTAGTATAGGGGAGTGAGGGTGTGGGTATTATTGAGGATGGTCTGTTGGTTAGAAAGAGGTATGAGAAGAAACAAATGTTTTGTAGAGTAGGTGGGGTGAGTGAAGAGGTAAAGAAGTAGAAATCAGATAGTATCTAAGAGGCCAGGAAATCAAAAGAAGATGATGCCTATACATAACAGTAACGACTCAGAAGTTTAGTTGTATAGTTTTTAGCTAAGAAATTCCATCCTTTGATCCTGTTTTTCATTTACAAAATAAGGTAGCCTGCACTGGATGTTTTTAGAATGGCTTTTCAGCTTAGGCTTTTTGTAACAATTCTACAAGTTGTGAACATCATGGCCATTATTTCAGCAAACACACACACATTTATACCTGTATGTGCTTTTCGTTTGCCTTCCTACCAGATGGCAAATCTCAGATTCTAATCCATTTAAAATCAGTATTCAGACGGGATTGGAGTC